GCGGGCTTCACGCGCGCATGTCGAAATCGTTCGAACGCCCTTGTGCGCATGCTGTCGCGAAAACTTGTTTTGCAACAGTGAAACGAAGTGCATGCGCGCGCGTCTTCGCGCGCGCATGCCAAAACCGTTCTAACTTTTTCAGCGTCGTAAGGTCAAGAAGCACAAACATCTGGCTTCGCAACATCAGTTTTCATAGAAACGGCGCCCGCGTTCTTGCGAACTCGCCAGGAAACCAAACATTGTTTATCGTGCTCATGAAATTCTGCCAAACGAGCCACTCGCGCCGCATGTCGAAATCATTCGAACGCCCTTGCGCGCGTGCTGGGGGGGAACGATCTGCGTCAAATAACACTATGCGGGCCAACCTCGCGCGTCGGCCGCGCGCGCACGTCGAACTCCTTCCAACACTTTGATCGCCGATGCGAAGACGCCGTCATTGTCGTCGGCGTGATCAGCATCGGCGCCGGCACTGGCCGTGCCGCCGCCGCTGTCATCATCGTCGCCAACACCGCTACGATAGTCATCGCGTGTACCGTTGCCGACGTTGCCATGATACCGCGCCCCCCCAAGTCGCCGACTCGCAGCGAAGTGTGCCCAGCGGTCAGCGCCACCGCGGCCGCGTTGGTCGCGCCAAACTAGCTGGCCGCTGCGCGCGCAAGCATGTGCGGGTTAGCACGGCCGCAGAGATGCACCAGCCAACACCACGCACTCATCCCAATCGCTGCCGCATTTGATTTGCAAACCAAGTTGCGGGTGGGTGGGTGGGACGTTTGCGCGAGCAGTGGAGTTGACAACTTCAAGTCCGGCCAGAAGAATTGCACCACGTAGACTGCACCATATATATATATATATATATATATATATATATATATTGCGCCACGTAGATACGTAGAATTCACACCATCGGTTGCACCACGTAAGTTGCACCACTCGGACTGCACTACAGATTTTGCACAACGTAGAACATTGAACACCGTATATTGCACACGTGGGTTGCACAATACGTATTGTGCCACACAGATTGCACCACGCAAGCTGCCCCACATAGTTTGCACAACATACATTAAATTCATGTATTGCGCCACATGGACTGCACCTCGTAGTACCAAATAAGGTGCATAAGACACATGCGTATATGTACATATTGCACAGCATCGGTTGCACCACATAAATTGCACAACATAGAAATCCGCCGAACAGACTTTTTCAATCCGCGGCCCCTGAGTTCCCCACCCACTCCCCGGGGGTGTTGTTCCGTCTCGGGTCTATGTTTGATAGTCCTGGGGCCCGAAGGCGGCCCCCCGAGGCGAGCTCGAGGGAGCACGCTGGGATTGAACAGATCACGTCGTCGGCCCCCTGGGCCTGGCAGCCCCCGAGGTGGCGGCCTGCGACCACCGCGGCTGGCGCCACCCGGTGGCCATCCCCGTGAAGGTCAGCCACGCGCAGAAGGGGGGCAGGGGAAGGGGGGAGGCTTCTCAGAGGGAGGCTGCTTCGTAGAAGGGCTGGCGCCTTCTACGAAGTCTTTCCCCCTGAGATGCAGGCGCCTTCTAATGTGAAGGGCCGACAGCCTCCTTCCAAAGGTGGAGGGAGGGAGGGAGGGAGGGAGGGAAGGGAGGGAGGGAGGGAAGGAGGGGGGGAGGGAGGGGGAGGAGGAGGAGGAGGAGGAGGAGGAGGAGGAGGAGGAGGAGGAGGAGAGGAGGAGGGAGGAGGAGAGAGGAGGAGGAGGAGGAGGAGCAGGAGGAGGAGAGGAGGAGGAGGAGGTGGACGAGGAGGACGAGGAGGACGAGGAGGAGGAGGAGGAGGAGGAGGACGAGGAGGAGGAGGACGAGGAGGAGGAGGGGAGGAGGAGGGAGGAGGAGGGATCAGGTGGAGGAAGGAGGAGGAGGAGGAGGAGGACGAGGAGGACGAGGAGGACGAGGAGGAGGAAGAGGAGAGGAGGAGGAGGAGGGGAGGAGGAGGGAGGGCGAGGAGGAGGAGGAGGAGGAGGAGGAGGAGGAGGGAGGAGGAGGAGGCGGAGGAGGAGGAGGGAGGAGGAGGAGGAGGAGGAGGAGGAGGAGGAGGAGGAGGAGGAGGAGGAGGAGGAGGAGGAAGTCTTCCCCCTCCCGCCTACCCCCTTGCGCGCGCCGCCAAGGCGGGCGCCGCGCCCGCGCCCGCGCCCACGGCGGCACCGGCGCCCGCGCCCACGCCGGCTGCCACGCCCGCGGCCACGCCCGCGCCCACGGAGGGGCCCACGACGGGGCCCACGCCCGTGCCCACGCCTGCGCCCGCAGTGGCGGAGCCGCCGGCCGCGGGGCCCACGGAGGAGGAGGTGGCCGTGCGGCGCGCGCAGGCCGTCTGCGTCGTCGCCGTTGTCGTCGTCGTCGCCGCTGTCGTCGTCGTTGGCGGCGTCGTCCGCGCCCTCGTCCTCGCCCTCGTCCTCGACTTCGTCCTCGCCCTCATCCCCGTCCTCGTCCACGTCCTCGTCCTCTTTGTCGTCGTCGTCGTCGTCGTCGTCGTCCGT